AGGATTTGTGTCGCTTAAGTTTCGTCGGAACGAAGTTACGGAAAGTTAATTAACAAACGGCGACGTAACAATATATTCATACTAAAAGTCTGCTACGGATATTATAATAAATGTATCCAGTTTTCCTGAATGTGCCATGAACTGTAATCTGTGTGACTTGTCACGAGACTGAACTCTACAAAATTAGCACGTGAGTGAAACGAATTGTTAATGCTTTTGCTTGTATGTAATTTTTTAAGCACATTACTTTATATCTTGTAGGTACAAGTTTTGTCAGTTTTAAAAAGAATAGTGCGGCGTGAGTTCTTTAAGTAAACAATGTTATTCTTACCAGTTGTCTAATCGAGCTGATGTTTCGTACTTCAAAGTGAATGTTTCCCTGGAAATTATAGACGTTGTGGTATCCGCAACAATATAAACAACCATGATAGCCAAGAAATCAGTTCCCACACTTTTTATTATGGCTAGAAATAAGCTATGATCTCTGCATTATCAGCTGACTAAACTTTTTAATTTTAGTTGTTTTTCTGTAAAATGTAGTTTATACCTGAAAATCGTGTTGGTCTGTTTATATATTACAAAAGATGTGAGAACTGAGGCACAGTTAATCCGATTTAGGTGTTTCAACTGAACAGACTTCACCGAACATGTTCGCCCTTTCAGCCGTGGGGACGTTATAAATGATGGTCAATCCCATTATTCGTTGGTAGTCCAAGAGTTGGCGGTGGATGATGTTGACAAACCGCCTTCCCTCTAGTCTATCACTGCTAAATTATGGACGACTAGCGTAGATAGCTCTCGTGTAGCTTTACGCGAAATTCCAAAAAACCAAACTTGAATAGACTGTTCAGTTTCAGATGCCAGCAAATTCATTAAAACAAAACCAGGCTTTTAAAGTTCGGAATCCTGTAATTGTATTTTAGAAAGATATACCAAGATAGATTTATTTTTTACTTAACTCAGTAGAGAAGTCTTCACAGTTGCACACTGTTTGTAAGCTCTATATACTGTTACGTCTCTGGTCGTTTGTTCATTTCCGGTATAAATTCTTACCGGGGAACTTCAACGATACAAGTCCTTTCTTAAATAAAACTAGTTTATTCTTTCTCAATACAACTTTGCAATACACTTAATTTCCACAGTCACTTTAACTTAAACACACGCTAGAATTCACAAAGATTCACACACTTTACTTACGGCTTGACTCTATTATCTGTCTCTCTGTCTGCAATTATCCCCCCGCCGTCACTTTATTTTCCGGCTTATATACAAGAACATAGCATGCCTAAAAAAGCCTAGAGTTGCGAGGAACCACACAGTCACGATCTTTCTAGAACTCCAGTGCATGCTCCAAGCGTCGCGCGACTTCCGCTGTCGTAACAATATGACACATATTCTGGATTTATCTGTTTTCGTTATAAAAATATTTTCAAATTTTTTATCGTTAATTTAAAATTATTATGAAACTGAAGTTTTCAAAAAATGAGATGATATGCCTTAAAAAATTAAAAATATCGACCTTTTTACTAAATGTTTAAAATAAAAGAATACACAACTTCACATTATAGCTGTTTATCTCAGGAATGAAAACGGACAGTGCCTAATGAAGCTAGTAAACACTTATCAGGAAGGATTGATTAGAGATTTTTATTCTTGTTTCTCTGAAGGACTTTGATTGTTTGTTTTTTGTAATATTTTTGTTCAAAGCTGCACTAGCCGCCCTTAATTTTAAAGTGTTAGAGTTGAGAGAGAGAAGGCAGTTGGTCAACTCCACCTATCCGCAACTCTAATCGAATAGTGAGATTTAACCGTCACGCTTATAGTATACTCATGGCCCCAAAGTGGAGCAACGAAATGTGTAATAAATCCTCAGATTCACAGATCAAGCTAGTGAGATTTAACCGTCACCCTTATAGCATACTCATGGCCCCAAAGTGGAGCAACGAAATGTGTAATAAATCCTCAGATTCACAGATCAAGCTAGTGAGATTTAACCGTCACCCTTATAGTATACTCATGGCCCCAAAGTGGAGCAACGAAATGTGTAATAAATCCTCAGATTCACAGATCAAGCTAGTGAGATTTAACCGTCACCCTTATAGTATACTCATGGTCCCAAAGTGGAGCAACGAAATGTGTAATAAATCCTCAGATTCACAGATCAAGCACACCAACCAATAGGCCACCTGATGCAACGGAGATTGAGAATGAAGATCTAGTAAACGTACACACTGTGATAGATGTCACTTTATACAACTATGATGTTTTTAATTATCACAATTATTGATTTATTTTTTGCTATTTCTTAACATTTTCTACAGCGTGGAAAGTGTAGTTTTCATTTTTTGATTCTTGGGCTGAAAAGTTTAATTTTCATAACCAATAATGGCTAACGATATAACTGACAAAGTTCAGTTTAATAGTATTATGTGTTTTAATTGTTCTCTTGTTTTTAAGTGTAACGCTACACAATGAGTTATCTGCAATATGCCTACCGTGGGTATATAACTCTGCTTTTAGCATTGTGATCCCTTAATCTTACCACTGAGCCACAAGGGGGGTCAGTGTTATATAACACAACCAAGTACTGCGGGGTTGTGACATTCTATAAATATACATTTGTTTTTAAAGTAACTAAATAATATTAATTGCTTTTCTGTAAAAGGATTTCTATGATAAATATTTATGGAATCATCTTATTATTATATCTAGACGTTATTGCAGTTCAAGTGGGGTTTTAATACACATTATTAAATATTAATAACACGTGGTTTTACCAACCCTGAACATGTGGTTTACAAGTAGTATTCAAATACATGCAACGAATTATGGGAACATTTTGGTGAGGTGACTAAGATGGCTGATAAAGATGAAAATGAACCAACAATTGCCCAAGACTTGGTTGTTACCAAGTATAAAATGGCAGGAGAAATGGTGAACCGTAAGTTTTAATAATTTTCTATATGATTTTAATTTGTTTTAATTCCGTGAGCTTTTCCTTTTTTTTTGTAATATCAAGATCAGTTATAACATACGGTAACATAACACATGTGGGTGGATAGCGTAGTTTATTGCGTTGCTAGGCCTAATCTTGTCTTGCTTACCGGTATTAACCCCGTGGCGGTAAAACTATATTATCATAATATTGTAGTACTAGTAAGTAATGTTTTCTTAAATTTAATAAATGGTTTTGGAAAGAGTTGCATATCAATTCACACGTTTTATTTCGCAACAAATTATGAAAGTATGTAAACTCGAATGAATAAACGAATGTACTGTGAAATTAATTTATGAAACAAATTTAATAACTTTAACTTTAGTGTTTAATTAATAGGAAATGATTCTAAATTTTCATAAGTTCTAGATTAACGCAATGAAACTGATAGTGAGATAAAGGTAAGGTTAAAATTATCTTTTAGGAATTAAATATGAATGCGTTATCAATTTACAGCTAAAATTAACTCCAAAAGAAGCAAGAACTTACCCTAATATATATATAATTGTATTAAATATTTATATTGAATAAACAATGATATAAAAAAATTCAAGAAGCTTGGCTAGCTTCAGGCATCACATCAAAGACCATAATAAAAGATGACTGTCATAGTGCACAATTTTAAGCAAAATAAACAAAGCAGTTATTGAGAATTACTAGTATTAAATGCACACTAAATAAATATGTCAATAAATTAACTTTAAACTCTGAGAAGAATACATGAGTGTAATTTGTGATATTGTGAAATAGATTTTAAAGTCTGACCAGTAATAATGTTGAAAAAGTTCTACATAAATCATTTTTCCTCAAGTGCACCACACATGAAGTTTTGTCAGCTGAGATGAGTTGTATAAAAGGTT